GCCCACAATGGCTATCCGAGCTTCCACAGCTGACGAAGAAGCGCGGACAACGTCAAGGCAACTTCCAAGACGACACGAAACTTTCTCCCAACCACCACTGACTTCAGACGCATCGCTCAACATCCCATTTTGAATTCGAGGGCTCGCACTGCCATTGGTAACATGGATCCCAACGTGCTGCTCCTTCAGATGAGACCCACATGTTGCTATGAACATGCCTGCCTCAAAAGACCCATGCTAACGAACGCCGAAGAAGAGGATGAGATTGTGGAAGCCGGTGATGAGGAATACGTCACCGCAGCCGAGGAGTAGGAACAGAGCCTGTCCCGGTACAGTGAGCTCCCCGCTACACGTTTAGACAATATTTTGGCAATCCTCTCATCACTGCACAAATTGAGGGAGAATGTTGGGAGGCAAGTAGTAGGTACCACATTTACCTTTGTACCTAGCTAGCATCTTGCAAGTAGACCACGACAGAAGGATAGGAATATTTTTGTCTCAATGCAAATCAGGAGTTCGATTTTCTGCGAGACACTATGCCGTGATATACTCTGGTCATATCAATAAAAAATCTCTTCAACAGGGAGCAAAGACGCTTCAGCAGGTTAGGTATGTGTTTGGCTTTTTCAACTTCAAGACCCTTGTATGGGACTTTGGAGCAAGCATAGCGTCTACGAACGAGCGGACGGGCAAGAGGACGAGGAAGCGGATGAAGGGAGGTAAAGCGTTCAAGGAAGTATTGCTTGTTTTGTCGCGTTGGCCTGCAGGCGACTAAGCCTGCAGGCGGCTGAGGATGCAGGTGCGCAAGCGCCGTTCACGAGACCCCACATTTCAATATTGGAATACAGAAACCACTGCTCAATTTCTTCTTGTAACCCTTATCCTCTAGCAGACTTGATAGTTGTTGTTACTACGAGATGTCCTGCGTGGTGTCTTCATACCGGGAGCCTTGTTAAGCGTGGCAATGGGCACGAGTCACGTGGCTGGGGCGTGCGGGTGGTCCGCGTGTGGGTCGTCATGGCGACGGTCGCAAATGAGAAAACACTCCGCACTACCGCGAGCACACCAGCTTTCACTTCGATCACCTCCTGTTGCTATCCACCGCGCTCCAAAGCGACCGTATCCCTCTTTCGCCTTCGCCTTGGCCTCTGTTATTGCTACATGAATTGCGTGAATCTCCGCTATTGATAACCCGTCCGCGCAAACATTGGTCGCAATGGCTGAGGACTACCAAGTTCTGGAAGAGCTGGGCAGTAAGTGCGGAATTGATTTAGCAGCCGAGACATGTTGACAGAGGATAGGCGGTAGCTTTGGAAAAGTATACAAGGCGATCCAGCGCTCTACTGGGGACATTGTTGCCATCAAGCAGGTAAGAATCTCGCCCATCGCAAGCCATCACAAATCCTCATGTTCAACAGATCGACCTCGAGGACACCAGCGATGAGCTCTCGGACATCCAGGCGGAAATTGGGCTGCTCAGCACGTGCAGCAGCCAGTACATTACCGAATACAAGACCAGCTTCATCAAGGGAGTGAAGCTATGGATCGTGATGGAGTACCTGGGCGGCGGGTCATGCTTGGATTTGGTGCGTGGGATGGGACTGGGTAGTTGACTAGCTCTAACAGTCACAGCTCAAATCTGGCAATTTCGATGAAGCCCACATTGCCATCGTGTGTCGCGAGCTTCTCTTGGGCCTCGACTACCTCCACGCCACAGGCAAAATCCACCGAGACATCAAGGCCGCCAACACGCTTCTCTCGCAGTCCGGACGTGTCAAGCTTGCCGATTTCGGCGTCGCCGCCCAATTGACCAACATGAAATCACAACGCAATACTTTCGTGGGAACACCATACTGGATGGCACCGGAGGTCATCCAGGAAGCAGGCTATGACTTCAAGGCCGATATCTGGTCGCTCGGCATAACAGCGCTCGAACTTGCATTCGGCGAGCCTCCAAACTCGGGCATACATCCGATGAAGGTGCTCTTTACCATCCCCAAGAATCCGGCGCCCCGACTTGAAGGCGACAAATGGAGCAGGGATTTCAAAGACTTTATAGCCCAATGCCTGGTCAAGGACCCAGATCGGCGGCCAACTGCGAAGGATTTGCTACGGCACCGATTCGTTGTTCGTGCCGGGAAGGTCGAGGCGATGCGCGAGCTGGTTGAGCGCAAGCAGATGTACGATGCGCAGCAGGAGACAGCCACTTTGCCAAAGTACTACGAGGAGACCATGTCAGTATATACACCAAGTCTCTCGCATAAAGCTAACACCAACAGGGTCGACCTCTCTCCGTGCCTTGAAGAGGACGAATGGATCTTCACAGTCAAACCCAGCACTCCAGCACGCCACGCCACGAAGCGCCGAAAGATGGCTCGCATTCCATCTGGAGAGGCCGGGACATGCGCGTCTATGATGGAGCGGATGGACTTGAATGCCGCGCCTCTCGGTTCTCCCACCGACTCTCCTGCCCCGGAAACACGTCGTCGTCAATCTACACTCAGGTTTTCTGCCATGACAGCCATGCGAGTGCCTTCTGGATCAACACCGACTGTTCACCGTGTTAGCAATTTGGCAAAGCAGCCTCTGGGCATCGACATGTCTTTTGGTAATTCTCCGTCTACTGTGCGACACTTTAAGCGCATCTCGTCTGCTGAGCGTCGTGCGGCACTGTCTTCCAATCCTCCGAGCACTGCTGTTCACCCCGATCCTCCAAACACTTCGTTCCAGCCGAATCCGCAGGCTCGGACTTTCCGCCCGTCTCCACCAACCTCTGCTCACCCTCTAGATCTGAACGATGAGAACGAACCACCGGCCCAGCATCCGCCAATGCCAGTCACCAAAGACGCCCTCTATGGCCGCCGCGCATACGGCAAGGTTCTTGACTCTGTCTTCCAGGAAGCGTATGCTCAGTCCGGATCACCTCAGCAGCGCGATGCTATTGCAAAGGTCGGGCAGGCATGGGCCAACTTGGACCAGCTAGATCCACAGGGTGAATTCCTGCTCCTTAAGGCCATGGTAGACCGTCTTCAGGGCGACTCCAAGCTTGCATCCGCTCTTGGCATTGCAGTGTCACCTGCTCCGACGCCGTCAAGGAACAACACCCGTACCAGCGACGTCCCAAATCTGGGTGGTGTTACCCTGCACGGCACAGGAACCACGCGTCTTCGATCCAACACGACCAGCATAAACACGACGTCTGGCACGAAACCTACGCCCACCAACGCCACGCCCAACCTTACTCCCGCATCAACCCCACACTCGACTCCGACAAACACAGCCAATGGCTCTCCTCTCAAAGGCAGCAAACTTATCCTGGCCCAGAACAATCCCCATCTCAAGACTCACCGCCGCCGCCAGAGCGCGTTCGTTGGCGGCGAGAAATTGTTTGGGGGTGAGTATGGAGTCGATGAGAAGAAGTTGCCGGGGTATGTCGAGCGGGGGATGGAGCAGCAGGGCTTGTTGGGAGACATCCTGTACGGGCAGTGGATTCAGGGATTGAAGAGCCGGTGGCCGCTTGCTTGAGTGTGGCGAGAGTGTGTATGCTGTTGGTGTGGTAATGTTTTCTTCTTGTATCTTTTTGCTGTGGAGAGGCGCTGTACAGAGTGTGTATTCCTAGCGGTGCGTTTTCTTTTCTTGTCTATCGTTTTCGGCCAGGTTTTTACGAGTCACGAGTTCGCTTGCTTCCTGTTGCATTTGCTCTGAGCGGATTCTGCATAGGACAGGGCGTTATTGGCATAATATGGGTGGGCATCGTTCCTGCATGTTTGAGAGGCGGAAAAGTTATGAGAGAGGTGGAAGTGTCAATATACAAGGGGTAATAGTAGTGGTGTCTTATTGTAATATTTACAAAACTATCGTTTGGCTGCAGTGTTTTTGGATTTTCCTCCTTCGTCGGGCTGAGGTTGTGTTATTGTACTTTGCCTCGTCGTGACATATCGGTTTGGGGAGAAGGACGTCGTACGCTGTGCTGTCTTCTAATGAGGAAAGGTGGGTTCTGGGCGTGCATACTAACCCCTCCTCCCCTCCGCCTGAATCTGTTCAACATCATTCACTCATCCATCTACAGTCTCAATGGTGCGAAACCCAAAGCTGGGAGAAATGCCCCCGCTGGTACCAATGTGTAATTGAAGCCCACCCCCTAGACAAGGTTCTCTCATACCTTCCCCGTTCCCATGTGCCCCGAGCCTCCCTCCCTTCTTGACCATTCTACCACGAAACGCTTGGACCCTCAACCCACCACACCACACCACCCATACCCTCCGTTATGCCGCCCCATCTCCCCACTCTCCCCCGGAATGCAACAGCAAAAGAAGCCCGCGCCGCAGCTGGATTGGACTTTTTCCACTGGGAGCAATTCTACGTGCGATCTTCCTCCTCCACCATATCACAAGGCTGAAAAGTGTTGACCCAAAGGCAGGAAATCACGCGTGAGGAAGCAGAAGATTTGCTAAAACGCTACCCCAATTGCACATGGGCGTCTCTGTCTTATACGGAGAAGGAGGCGTCGCATGACCGTGTTACGGACCGTCTGAAGGCTAGCAAGATTGAGGAGGTAAGGAGAGATATTTTGAGGTGGAGGATGGCGAATGTGATTAGGGATTGTAAGACTACGGCAGGTGTGTGTGGATTTGGTTGTGCTGGTTGTGTTTGATGGTAACGGTTGGTAGTGAGAGCGGCGGCCAGGGCGGCGGCCCCGAGCTCGACGGAAACACAGCCTGCAAGTTCGGAGAAGACCGAGAAGACCACGCGTCCTTATGATCCTGTACGGGACGTGTAACAAGACTAAGATCAAAGGAAATAGGTCATAGGATAGTACTATGAGGACCGCACATTCCTCGATCGACGGCACAACGTGGTTGGTTGATAGATAGCCGAACCACGTGAGTGCGGAGCCGAGGCCACCGCTAAAAAAAGATGGCGATACCTCGCCACTCGAATTTCCGCAACAACAGCAACAAAACATGATCGAAATGGGAAAAAGAATGCAAAAGGAAAACAGCCGAACGTGGGGCTCGAACCCACAACCTTGAGATCGCCGACAGATGTCTTAAGAGTCTCACGCGCTACCGATTGTGCCAGCCCGGCTTTGTTGTTTGAATATGCAACATCGATGCTGTATCTTATATATATCTAGAGAAGTTTTGGAGGAGTTTGCAGGAGAATATGGAGGGATTGTGAATTGAATTGAGGGTATGGACGTTTGAGTCACTGTTTGTTTGTGGGGAGAAAATTTTGCGTGGCACGGGCGGTGATGGTCGTTTGCCACTATAAGAAATTTGTATCACGCTAAAAGCTGGGGGCTCTGGAAATGGTGAAGGGACATGGTGAAAAGGGATTATTAAACGCTTTTTAGGAGTTATAGGAGGGCTGCTTTCCACGCTGGTATATTGGACTTCTCTTGTGTCCGCTTTTTGTGCGCTTCCAGGACTCGATACTAAGCTTCGCAGGTAGCAAGGCGTCTGGGGATTTTCCTTGGGATATCCTCTCTGGTTCCTGCCGAATTACGTGTCCATGAGCCTTCCCGAGTGCTTCTCGGCGTTTCCGCCTTGGTTGTTCGGTCCATACTTTCTGCGTCCAGTCAGGGTCCCAACCTCAGGAGGAACCCACATCTCAACCCCATCCTTCATTCCTCCCCAAACCCATTTCCATCCTCCTTTTCTTCCACAATACTGTTCATCCACTGCCATATATAGAGAGCAGTTTCGTAAAGCTTGTCGTGCCCAGCATCAGAACCCTGCCGATTTCTTCCCCGAATTAATATTTCGCTCGTCTTCATCACCGTTTCTATCCTCCCCAAACTCGCCCCATACTTTTCGATTCTTTTCGCAAACCACTCATTTCGTAGTTGTCGAAGATGTGGAGGGTAGTAGATTGAAGTGTGCTTTTTTTGCTGGGTCGATCGCCAGCGGAGATATTGACGCTGTTTCGTGCGATAGTGTGGGAGCATGTTGGACTGTGGCATTCGGGCTGTATTATTAACGGAGGAGTTGGTGATCGCACGTTCTTTCATGGCCAATGGGATTTACTAAGTTCTGAGAATACTCTGACTTGCGCTTTATACAATGCTCATAAGGCCAGAGGGTCAGAAGTTCTCGGGACAAGCACATGGTGGGACAGTTTGAGGCTTAAGCGGCGAGAGCGATGTTGGAAATGCTCCATACATCTTAGTGTGACAAGGCTCAAAGTAGTAACTGCGCTCTCTTTTACGGACGTACCCCATACTTTCCAAGGCTCTACGCAGCAGTCGGTTCAACAATGCTCGAGGTCTTGACCTGCGAGGCATCCGGCGCGCATATCTTACGCGAAGGCCCAAAATGGTTTTAGTACTACCTTTCATCCCTGTCTCCTCAGCGCCAATCATCATACCATATAAGCTGATGCCATTTGCCATTTGGGGCTAGTGTAAGGTACTTCATTCCGACAGAACGCATCCTCAACTAATAGCACGGGATGGCATTCCAACTTCAACATCTGTTCAGGATCCCATGTCCACACAGCTTCGCTCTCTTTCGGACCAGAAAACGGGCAAAGGCCAAGGGCACAGTCGTTGTCCATCAAACCGCAAGGCTGTCAATTACAAGGCCATGACATTCACTGGGAAAATAATCCCAGCCTCCGGCGGCAAAGCGTGCGTCTCCCTCGCCGTCAATCCTGCAAATATCCCTACCGGCCTCGTACCAGTGCGCTTGTCTCTGCAGCCCCTGTCTTTCCACCTCTATATAACCTCTTCCAGGACTTGCAGTCGCCATTTCTCTACCATTTAACACCCTATTTCGACGAGCGAGGTTCCAGTTGTAGAAAGTCATCCGTTACATGCAATCGAAATGCGCTTACACGATTCCCTCCTGTTTGCTGGTAAGCATAAATTCTCGCCCCGCGCACGTCTACCGTGGTGTTATGTTTCGTCCGCAGCGAAGCTGTGCCGCATGGCTTTTGCCCGCGAGGTTGCGCCATGCTGAAAATCCAAACTACCTGGACTTTTGAAACTAACATGGCGGGACTACAGTTGGTTTCGGCCTCGCAACATGCGCCTCTGTCCTCGCTGTGCCGTCACCAGAGCCCGCAGACTTGATGCCACGACATAGACACGCGAACCCTTGTAACGATGCGGAGAATCCGAGCGTGAATGCGAGCATGCAGTTGAAGGCTTGGGCGGAGTGTGCTGTCAATGGTGAGTCGTTTCTTCTATCGAGTTCCACATGAGGAAATATATCTACAGTAGTATTTCCAATCTCAGTATTACATGCGAAACCGGCAAACCCGTTCTGACAAGGCCACCAGGGTTTTTTCCATTCCCAGCGAATGGGGCCTGGGATAAGGAATTCGCTCGCGTTTTCTCCAAAGATTTACGCGCTACTTGTAAGTGTAGTTGGGGTTACCTTTCGGCAAATTTCCCAAAGGAGCATCATCGATGTTGGAGAAGTGTCAAGATGGATTTTCTATGTGGCATCTGGCTACGGACGCAGTGGCTATGTCGTCCAACAACGTGGATCAACTAACTCCTCATCCCAGTCAATGCAACGACCCACAGTTACGACACATGGCTCTCGCTCTACCAGACATTCAACCACTCACTCGTAGTATTTACGCCATTCAACCACGGCTTTACCAGCGTAGTCGCAATCCCCGATTCCGCCAACCCCAAGGGCGGTTTCGTATCCATGAATGGTTGGGAAGGTGGCTATCATTCTCTTGCTAAGAAAGATTTGTGGTACTCCGACACCGCATTTGCCGTAATTGAAGTCGATGCTCAAGGCAAGAGGAAGATTGTCGAGTTTAGGGAGGCGACGAATATGCCGAGTGGCGGCGGTGTGCTGCCGCCGGGAACTGATTGGGCGTGTGTGTTGCCGAATACGGGGCCTGGAGGGAATGGCTCGGTGAAGATGGCTGTTTAGGAGCAGGGCATAGGTGTTACATGTTTCTATTGCATGATGATGGCGATTTGGGGCGATGCGTATATGAGTTTGGATGAGCCAGCTGGTATGTTGGTTAGAAAACCGGAAAAGACCTTGTTAGCACTTGAGTGAAATATAGATATTAGGTGATTGGAGCAGCGTCCCTGGAAGATCTTCTTAGTGAACGGGTTCGTGGAGTACTCTCAAGAGGCAATTGTTTGCCTTCTGTTTGGAACTTAGTTGCTCATGTCAATCAAAGGTTTGTATCGCACCTGATAGTCTCTAACATGAATGTTTTGCAATCGAGATTCAAGAAAAACTTCCTGAATGGTGTACTATCAAAATATCAAGCAAATAGTAGGTGTAGTGTTGTGACTTAAATAAAGTGGATCTGACCCTGAGACAATCTGTATTCCATGATTAAGATGTTCCTAAGAAGGAAACGGCGTCATTGGAGATTATGAGATATAGGGTGATCTTTCCTGAATAAATAGAATCAGCGAATCATACGTGCGGGGCCTATCTAGCCCCAATGTGGAATCATTTACGCTCCATCCATGTCCTTCTCAAAGAACCCCCCCGCCCGAAGCTTGGGTGCATAAAACCTTCTACGTGCACTGAGTCAGTATTTCCTCTTCACCCTCACTTTCCCCCCTCTCTCAGTTCTGTTCTTTAGATCTTCCCCTCTTTTCTCCCTTCCCCGTTTCCCCCCCTGCCCTCCAATCCAACCATCATTCCTCAAACAAACTCCCCCTCCCATTCTATCCCCACCATCCCCACCCCCTAGCCGCCCTCCTCCCCTGCTCCTCCATCCTCATCCTCACTCTCTCCTCCTCAAACTCATCTTCTGCATACCCATCTTCTCCATCCTCCCCATCCCCTTCACCCCCCTCACCCCCCTCACCCCCCTCCCCTACCCACCCGTCATTCAAATCCTCAACCTCACACTCATAACACCTCCAATGCCCACACTTCCCACAAGAAGGAGGCTTCCTAGTCCAATCAAGCTGGGCGGCTGTGCTATTCCGTTTCGAGCAAAGATGGCAATTCCAGTGCCACAGTGCTGGAGCAGTGGTGGTGTGTTGGACCTTGAGGGGCATTAAGATGTCGGTGTCGGTGTTGGTAGTATCGATATTTGTGCCTGAAATTGGGGAAGTTGATAGTCGTTTATCCTGTGGCGATTTGACTAGCAATAATGAGTTTGAATCTGAGTGGCAAGGAAGCAGATGTGTAGCTGTTGTTGGAAGCTGGCTTCGAGGACGTTTGCTGGATATCTGTGTGTAGAAGCGTAGGATAAGGAAGAGAAAGAAGGAGCAGCAGAGCAGAAGTAGAAGCATGATTGCGGGTGGAAGCATCTTCACTGGTGGGGTGGTATGAAGAGCAGTGGAGTGGATTGGAGTGAAGCACAGTGCTGCAATGCAATGCAGAGCGGTGGAGTGAAGTGCAGTGAAGCAAAGTGGTTTGAAGGATAGTGTAACAAGTTCATTCACTCTCTCGTTCGTGCCTTCTATCGAATATCATGTAAGCGTACGCCCCATGCCTTCCCAATCTGTGGGTAGCGTTAGCCGACCTCGGCCCAATTTGGTGATAATTACAAGGGCGGCTCAAGTCCCCAAACGCCATATCCAAACCTTTTCCCAGAACCAAAACTCCACCCAATGCCATCCGAATTCTGAATCAAACAGAGCATACTATACCACAGTGACCAACGCGTTTGACCCCTCCAACGCAGCCGGAATCTTAACCTCTACGGGATTCTCACTTCTTTTTCTGCGTCAACTTCCTCAAAAAGTCATTCTGTGGGCCCTTCTTCTTTTTCTTCATCAGCTCTTTATTCCGGCTCTTAGCATACTCGGAATACGCCATATCCTGCCCACCACTCAGATCACTCAGCATCCCCGCCGTCCTCTTCACGCCGCCCCTCTTCTTTCCCTTGGAAGCAAATCGACTGGAAAACAAGTCGCCGCCGATCTTCTCCGTTGCTGCGTCTGATTCCTTGGCGAGAAGGACATCCATGAGGAGCTCGCGTTTGTCTTGGGCAGATGCGAAAGCGAGATCTTTTTCGTTTTCGATGCCCTCAAGCTTCGTGATGACTTTGAAGGCATAGCCCTGATCGACTAGGAAGGCTTGACGCTTTGAGGAGTAGTACATCTCATCCGTGTCCTTGGACACGAGAGAGTAGAAAAAGGC